TGTGCCCATGTTGTGGCTGATTTTCAGGGCATGCGCCCTTCTTCTAAGGCAAAGGTCAGTGGTTACTTGTCCATTGAAATGCCAAGCTCTAAATAGTCATTTAAACACTGTCCTTAATGATGCGTTTGTAGTTTCCACTTAGAACCATTCTGCCATATGAATGTTGTCATATCTAAACTCTAAGTTTATGTAAATCTTGGGAAAATCCTCTTGGAATGGTCATGTTGCTGAGATTGCAGTGATGCAAACTCTAGTCAATTTCAGAATTATTTTATAATCCATGCTTGGTTTTGCATCCTCATCTATCCTTGTTTAGCTCTGTTGTATAAAAAAAAAAGCATGCTAATCGAAAGCTATTGTTAAATGACATTTGACATGCTGTAGCATGTCTAGTTACACTTAGCCAATCAATTCCTACTTTTAGTTAGTGATCTTTGAAAACTTCATTTGTGAGAACTGAGAAACCATTTAAATACTATTAGATTTTTTTTATGAGAATTACCCTTCACAGCTTTGAAAACCTCTTTGTGGCTTTGATGTATGGTTAATGTATACAGGTAGGTGTGACTTTACAAGATGGTAGAACATTTGAGGGTACAGTAGTGAATGCTGATTTGCATTCCGATATTGCTATTGTAAAGATTAAATCTAAAACTCCACTCCCAGCCGCAAAACTTGGTTCTTCAAGCAAGCTCTGCCCTGGGGACTGGGTATTAGCCTTGGGCTGCCCACTTTCCCTTCAAAATACTGTCACAGCTGGTATTGTAAGGTATTGACTTTTTTCCAGCATTTTGAAGTCATCCTTCCATTTCTAAATCTATTACCCTTTCTATTCTCAATAGTCAATTTATGGTTGTGCTCAATATAAATGGAACTTTGTTGATGATTGTAAACTTGCTAAAACTGAGAGAAAGAACAACTTTGATATGGAGGTTCATCACAGAGCTAATGCTGCTTCTTTTCCTGCCCCTTTTTCCTTGTATAGTTGTGTTGATCGTAAAAGCAGTGACTTGGGCCTTGGAGGGATGCACAGGGAGTATCTACAAACAGATTGTGCAATCAATCCTGTAACTCTCTCATGCTCTATCAGCAAACATCAATTTTTAACACTTTGCATATCATTGCAACTGTGTGAATCCTCTGTGTTTTGTGGTTATGATTTTAGGCATTGATCAACTGTGTTAAAATGCTTGTCATACAACTTTTTTCCCTTGTTAGTACAATATGCCCCTGTAAGGATTAAAGAGGATCTTATGTAAAGGAGTTTGTTAGCCAAACTGGTATAAACTAACATCCAAAACCTTAATTCTAGAGTTAAGTTCAGGGGTTCAAGTCACTACAATAGCTGACCAGTAACATTTTTGCCAGTAAAAAATTATAAACTAGAAGAAGATGTGCTTGTATTACTGCATCTTTCTTGTGGATTTTTATCTGTGTTTGGGCATATTACCAAATTTCTCACATGAAAAGCTGACTTAGACAAAACTATTTGGTTTTAGTAATATTGGAGTTAGCAGCTAACGGTGGACTATGATTAATGG